AACCTTTTTAATTTTAAAATTCTTTTAAATTTCAAAAAAACCCCAAAAACCCCCCTCACCCCCAAAAAAAAAAAAAAAAAAAAAAAAAAAAAAAAAAAATCCCCCATGCCCGAACAAGAAATACCCACACAGCCACCGCGTGTGCTGGTGTGCCACTGAGGCCTGAGTACGTACCACTGGGACACTGAGACGGACTGGCTGGAGGAAAATCAGCAGCCTAGAGACCTGGTCTGGAGACACCTCAGGGTACAGGGTATGTGGGCAAGGTCCACACAAACCTGTCCAAATGCCAGGGTCTCCTCCTGCACCAAGTTTCCCACTTCCCTCCTTTCTCCTCTCCTTAGTCTCGCCTGCCCCTCGGGTGAGCACCTCTGGGACTCACGGCCTCCCTGCTGGGGTGGGGGTCCAGTGTACGTTCCACCATCCCGCCCAACTTTCAGCTTGTTGATAAACCCAGGAACGCAGGTCACACCTGGCGCTCCCCGTGGAGGACAGGGTTCTAGGCACGCTTCTCCCACCCCATGTAGGAGGTCACAGACCTAATTGGCAAGCACAAAGCAATGATGAAGTGTGTGCTAGAAGATGCCCTCCTGGTGGCCCTCCGACTAGAGGGTGGCGCCGTGCTGGCGCGGCTGAGGACGGAGCAGCTGGGCATCAGCCAAGACTGCCGGTGAGTGCCAAGCCGGGGCCGCCCGTCCAGAGTAGTGTCTGTTCCTGTCACCTGCAGCATCACCCAGGGGTCCAAACCTCTGTTCTTGCTAACGGGCACACTTTGGATGGGAGCCTATGGACATTTGTATCTTCCAAACAAAAGGAGCAGCTTCCTGGGACTGCTCAAGTGGAAGGCAAAACTCATCACCACGGAATTCAACAGAGGCCCCGGTGGAAAGCTGCTTTGTCTATTTCCGTCCTGGGGAGCCATGCCCGCCCGCTCACTTTTCGCCACACCCCTGCACCTGTCACTCCCAGCACATCCTGTTCCTGCTCTGGCTGTGGACCTCCTCGGAGCGACGGAAGGGAGGCCAAGAGCGCAGCTGTGCTTTCTTCGCTAGGTTGTCGCCAACAACGTATGTCTCTGAACAGCTTGCCTTTCTGACGCTTTCTTTCCCAGGGATGCCATCGAGGCCGCCTCCAGGCTGTACAGCCAAGTGGACGAAGAGGTACATCGGCTTGTCCTCGCCTCTAACAGGCGTCTGCAGGAGCTGGAGAGGCTGCAGGGAGTGAGGGCACTCCAGGAGCGACAAGGCCAGGTAAGCGCTCCGGTCAGAGAAGCGGGAAGAGGAAAGCTCTTGAGACTCTGCTCCTGAAATAACGACTGTCACCATGTGCTACATTATCATCCACTTTCCTCTGGGAACGTGTGCATGGAAGAACTTCTCAAAAGCTTGCACATATTTCTAGTTAAATCCTTGTGCTTTTATCAATCACTATTCCCATATGAGTGAGCGAAGCAGGAGCCCCCGGCACAGCCAGCGGTCAGTGTAGAGCAAGGTCAAGTGTGGCTGGAGGCTTTCTCTGGAGGCCTGCGTGTCCCTTGGGGCAGTCAGGGTGGGGGATGGCCACAGCCAGGGCATCCCGAGGCTGAGTCCCAGGACGGCCAGCACGCGCAGGGCTGTGTGGAGGTCTGGACCTCCGTGCACTTGTTCGGTTCCAGCCCAGGTCCCCGGCTCTCCCATCTCCCACCCTTGTACACGTCACTGCACCTGCATCGTTCACACTTTCTGATTGTTTGCTTTGGACAGGCGCCTCGGCTTGGGCTGGCTGGGGTGGGGCCTGCCGTCTTCAAGGTTTTGACACGTCTGCCAGATGGGCCTGCAGGCAGCCTGCCTGGTTCGGCCGCCTCGGCAGTGTCCCTTCCTGACCGATGTGAAAACAAGTCCCTTATCCCTGCACTGGGATTTTTATGCCACAGTCGACCTTCTTCCTCTCTCTGTGGGTTATTTTCTTCTCTACAAAAACCCAGCAGCCGAAGCTTCACGCTTACAGGCACGACTCACGCGGACACTCTGGTCATGCGACAGATACTTGCCCCAGTGTGTCACCGCCCTTTGCTATGATGGAAATGACCTTTCCTACCTGAAGGTTTCAGAACAACTGAGGTAGTCCGTCCTGAGGCTTGTACGCTTGGGATTTTTCCATTCACTCTTGAAGCCAACCAGGACTTTTCCCGGAGGTTGGAAGAGGGGCTGCGCGTCTGAGGGTCTCTGCTCCTTGACCGGCTCCTGCTCTTCTGCTCTCAGGCTGCTGGTGTTTGTGAAAACCCAGACGTGACGTTCTCCTCCGTGGCCCCGTCCACAGAGAGCGTATGCTCAGCTCCCCTCTGCCTGAGCGCGGGGCCACCCAGCACAGCTCTGCAGCAGTAGCTCCAGGCCCATCGCCGCACCACCAGAAACCTCTCCCTGGGCCCCTCACAACCAGCGTTGCTGGCATCGCTAGCCCACGGGGACACGCACGGACGTGACGTCTTGACCCCCGACGCGTGCGCCGTGAAGGACTGCCGTCCCCCCGTGTGGTGCAGGTGGGGGCTGCCGCTGGCCCCTCCCGCGCTCCCAGACAGCCCCCAGGTACCCTAGTGCCTCCTCCAGAAAAGACGTCTGGGTACGTTCAGCGTGGTAACAAGTTTCAAAACAGAAAGTTCTGTGCACAGCCTGTCCACTTGTGCCCTTGAGCCCCAGAGACGCCACAGGCTGAAAGCGGCCTGACGGTAGAGACGGCGGTGAAAACCTCTAGGCGGTGTGGCCGTCAGGGTGTTTGCCAGCCGCAGCTTGCTGGGCTCGGGCGGCTATGCAGGCTGTGGCAACCAGCTGAGCCGGCCCCTCAGCAGTGTCTGCGGCTTCCTTTGTCCCCACGAGCATAGAGCCAGACTCCTTCACACGTTTGAAAATTACTGAAGCCTTCTTTTCCGACGTAGATCATGTCGTGGTTGGAAAGAGGAGAGAAGTGTCCGGCCCCTTGGAGCGGCTGTGTCTTGAGAACATGCGGCAGCAAGGACGGGGTCCCGGACCTTCCACGACAGGTGACGGCGTGTCCACACAGAAGACTCACACAGAGGAACAGAGCAGGCGCCAGGCTTGTGTCGGCCCTTTGCTCCTTGGACTGCAGCAGTCTTGTCCGCTGATGGAGGAGAGCAGCTCCCAGTGTCCAGAGGACATGATCTGGGACTTCAGACGGTGCCCGAGCACCATGGCCGCCAAGCTGAGTGGAGGGAGGGAGCGCTGGCCAGGGGGCTCAGCCGTCTGACTTCCATGAGGCAGTGAGAGACCCCGTGGAATGGCCTCCAGAGACCTTCATGTGCTGTGGACATTTAGGGATCCCAGTCCCCGCGGGCCCGAGGGAGCTGAGCCCTGGGACAGCTGGCCAGCACCCCTGACACCGTGCCCTGGGCTCCCAGCCACCGTGTGAGGAATGTACTCATTGTCCCAAACGGAGAAGCAAAAGGAACACATGAACTTTCCTGTGTTTACCAGCTCAGCTCTAAGAGTCCACTTGTGGTCAGACCCCAGGACAGTCAATATGGCACACGCTTGCAAACTCACGAGCACCCCAGAATTGTCTGTACCATGGAGCCCCAGCAGCACAGCTCCTCCTGATGGGACCCAGGGGGTTGGGGAAGACCAGAGCAGGGGTGGGACCTGTCCTCGCAGCCTGGTATCCATCCCACGGCCCTGGGACAGCCCCACCTCCTGTTCTTGGGGGCCGTGGAGGAGTCAGACCTCACTGGGCTCAGGCACAACCTCATCTCGCTCAGTGCGAGTCTGGCTGGCTGCTGCCCCTGTGGGCAGAGGGGTCCTCCTCTTGCTCTGGCCACCTGGCTCACCCTGGTCCTTGATGCGGGGCACCTAGAGAGCAGGAGGAAATTGACCCAGTTTACTCGAGCTGCGGCGTGGCTGCATGAGGTGGGATGGGGTGCCAAGGCCGCGGTGGCCGTGACAGCCCTCCACAGCCCTGACGGGCACCGTCCTTTGCCATGCAGGTGGATGAGTGGAGGCAGCAGAGCCATGAGCGCCTGGAGCTCCGGGGCCCAGAGCCGGGCACAGCATGTGTGCAGAGCTGTCCCCAGGAGGCCGCAGAGCTGATGGTGCAGAGCTTCCCCGAGGCCAGCACGGCAGCGGTGGCCCTGGGTGGCCCAAAGGTGCTGCAGCAGCAGCACCCCTTAGAGCTGCAGACCCAACTCCGCTTCCAAGAGGCCCTGTCTGGGGTTGGCCCAGACCCTGGCACTCCGCCTCTAGACCAGACAGCTCTGGAGCCTGAACTGGCCCCGGAAGCTGAGAGGAGGCACCGTGAGCTGTCCCGGGCCCCACCCCCTGACCCGGAGGGCCGCACTGGGCAGCAGGCCCAGCTGCTGTCTGGCCTCCCTAGACGAGCCCCTCCGTGCAGGCAGGAGACCGAGCCCCTGGCCCCAGCCATGCCTTCCCCACAGGACAGCACCCCCTCCTCCTCCGAGCCCATCCAGACACCCACCACCCACCCCAGGAAACAGCCCCTGAAGAAAATGATGAGGAAAACACGAAGCTTTGAGATCGCACAGCTTGACAGTGGGCCCAGGGACGCCCCCTGGCCAGGCCACACCAGGGTCTTCATCGGGGGCCTAGAGGTGACCAGCACCGTGGCCTCTGAGAAGAAGCCCCCACCGAGGCCACATGCTGAGAGCCCCCTGGTCACTCGGAACCGGAGTCTGTCCTCTCCCTCCAGGACCCACCCCTCCGAGGAGGACGGAAGGAGGCGAGCAGGAAGGTGAGGTGCGCCCCCCTCCAGCCCTTGGGCCTGGTGGTCCCTGTGGTGCCAGAGAGTCAAAGCCTTGCACCAAGTAGAAAACCCACAAACTTCCCTCCAGCTGCACTGGGTCCGGTCCAGGCGGTACAGTCTCGTGGGAGCTCAGACGAGACGCTGCCGGCCCCGCCGCGTTCAGCAGGCTCCCTGCAAACTGCTTCCTTTTCCGTGGCTTGGGGGCACCGGGCTCACCCGCTCTGTGGCTGAACAACGAGCCTCGTTTGAGGCCGTTTACACACAATCGCAATAAGCAAGTCACACCTGAGATACGAAGAAGTAATTTAAAGTAATTTAAAAACTTTAAAAAAAAATGTCTCTCAGCCCTGAGGTGAGAAGTGTGTGTGTTGCCCGAATGGAGATGTCCGTATGAATTTGTTTAATCTGTAAGAAGATATGTGTAAAGAGATATATTTTATTGACTGTTGGGGTGGAAAAGTGGGCAGGAACTGTGCCCAGCCCTAATGACGGGGAGTGCAGGCAGCTGGAATCCCAGCCTGGCCCTTGGGCCGTTGGTCCGTCTGTGTAGGGAGCTGGGCGGGCTGCCAGTAGAGCGTCGTCCGAGCTTTCTTTGCTCATATGGTGGTGGACACGTTTCCTCCTCATACAGAGACCATACTCCCCTGAAATACACCTTCACGTTTCAGGTTCCAGGCGGTTATGGTGCAGCTTGTTTGGGGCGGAAACTTAAGGTGGAACAGGAAGGGTTCATTGGGGAGTCCCTGGGTGGCTCTTCCTGGGGTTTGGAATCCCTCAGAAGGCTCTGGGAGGAACCACTCTCCCAGCCCCCCAGCTCCTCCTGAAAGTTTCAGAGGCGCGGACCACAGGGATGGGGGCCTTCTGCTTGCTGGTAGCCCCCAGTGCTCTGCCGTGGGCATCCTCAGTCTGGAGCAAGCAGGTTTAGGAAGGCGACCTGCCTTTGTCCCCGGGGACAGGTCCCCCCTTCCACCTTTCACAGGCCATGGACCTGTCAACCCAGGGTCTGGTAGTGGGACCCCACAGCACACCAGAGAGGGAGCACGTCCTGCTCAGGTGCCGGGGCCCAGAGTCAAGAGCATTAAACTAACCCAGTCTTCCGTGAAAACCCAGGCCTTCTGCCAGTTTGCCTGGAGAGAGTCCCTGTCACTCAGCCAGCAGTCATTTCTGCAGACATTTCTAGCCATTATGTCAAGTGTCCATTTCCAAATGGCCAGACCATCCTAGTTTTGTTTTTAAATATTTAAGGCTGCCTGTTTTCAGCAACTGTTGATAGGAGGGGTGCTGTGGGTCCCGGGACCCCGGGTTTACTGGGGGGACGTCCAGGCCTCCTGTGCCATCACTGCCGGGAGCGTTGCCGCCACAGGAGCCACGGGTATTTGTTAAGTCTGTTATGGGAATGTGGAAAGGAACCAGCTCTCCGGCTGCAAGTGGGCAGCAGCCTCTCTGGCGACAGGTGTATTTCCTGTCATTGGTTGCTTCTGATTGCTTTCCAGCTTTAAAAGAAAAAAGGCAGATACAAGTAATGGCAGAAAAATGTCAGCAAGCCCTCTGCTATCCTGCGGATTAATTCAGGAGCGTTCTGTCCCACGGGAGGGCGGTGCACCCTGATAATAGCAGGTTGGGCTCTCCTCGGTGCCTCCAAAAGTGCCTTCTGCCGCAGACACATCCCGGGCTGGACGCCACACCAGCAAGGGCCCGGGGAGCTCTCTGCATGGCAGGAAGGAGCTGCCTTCCCCCTGCTCCCCACATCTGCTCCGTCCTGGGCCCCAAGGCCCTGCTTTGCCATTTCAGCCCCAGCCGCTACTCCTCGGTCTCCAGGTCAGACGTCTCTGCCACGTAAAGCTGGGTTTCCAGAAGCGCCTTCCCATAGGTTAGCAGTCCGTGGGCGTTGGAAAACATCTCCCTGTACGTCCCCAGCACAGGCTCCTTTGCCGTGTTTAAATCTTCCCACTGCCAGAGCCATCCCTGCAGAGGGTGCCGGCATCAAGCCATCTGGAGATGAGACCGCAGGGCCCGGGTTCAAGTTTGGGGTCCTGGGAGTCTCTCTTGTTCACTTTCCAGAAGAATCTTTTACCCTAAACAGCTGTGACCAATAGTATAGAGACATTTCACACAACCGGTTTCTATTACGCCTTCCTCCCCGTATTTCTCTTCTTACTCGTTTATGTCAAAGGATCCCACGTGACAGCGTTTGCCGCTGACAGATCACGTAGAAAGATCTTACATTCTGTGCACATGCGGCCCACGTCTAATCACACGCACTCCTCTGGGCCTGCAGAGCACCTCGTCTCCATGTGAGGCAGGAATGACGCTGGCCGAGGGTGTCCGAGGCCCGGAGTGAGGCCAGGCCTGCAGGGGTCCGCCCTCAGGGTCCACCCACCCCTCTGTCTTCCAGCAGCCGCCAGCAGCACATAATGGCCGAGATGGTCTCCACGGAGAGGGAGTACGTTAGGTCCCTAGGGTACGTCATCGACAACTACTTTCCAGAAATGGAAAGAACAGACCTGCCCCAGGCCCTTCGAGGGAAGCGCAGCGTTGTTTTTGGGAACCTGGAGAAGCTCTATGACTTCCACGGCCAGCGTTTCCTGGCAGAGCTGGAGCGCTGCCAGCCCTGCCCACTAGCAGCGGGCCGCGGGTTCCTGAGACACGTGAGTTCCTCCCTCCGGGCGCTGGGCTGCGTGGCAGCTGGCTGTGTGGTCAGCTGAGGGGACATCAGCCCAGGGTGCCCTCGAAGAGGCCGGCTCTGGCAGTGCCCATGGTTCAGGGAATTTGGATCACTGCAGACCAGGCCTAGGAGATGTGTCCCTAACAGGACGCAAGACCCGTCAATCAACAGACACCAAAATAGACGAGAAGCCTGTGGGTCTGATCACCCTGGCCGTGTCACTTGTTGCCACCCGAAGACACCCTTGGCTCCCCAGAGCCACATGCCCCTGAGAGTTCACTGCACGGTCACACACACATCCCTCTCCTCACCGCTCGAGGTAATCGGCCCAAAGCAGCTCCCCAAATCAGTTTGCTCCCTGTCCCTGGGAGCCCACCTGGTGCCCTCCACAGTCCCTTGGCGTGCAGCCCCGTCGGGGTCTCAACGGAGGCTCATGGAGGATGCACCAGCTGGAGGGCTGCTCTCTCCTTGATGAGTGAGTGTTTTCTCAGCTGCGGACATGAGCCTCTTCCCTCCCGGGTCTTCGTGAAATTCTGAATTCAGTCTGTAGAGAACATGCTGTCACCAAGTCAGTGCTCCAGGCAGTGGGGACGCAGTGGCTCTGGGCTGCGGGCAGATGCGGCTCTGGGCCCAGCATTATGAAATATAGATTACTACAACAGACATGTCAAAGAAAGCCCATGTTGCGTCTTTTCAGCTATTTCTAAGAAGGTGCTTTTAGCCATAAGGCAAACTCTGTGTTGCTTTACATTGACAACAATGGTGAGAATTTTAAATGTTGACACAACTTTGGTTCTGGGCCGTTAAGGGGCAAACCCTCCCCATGCTCCTTCCCAGGCCGGCCTCCGCCTCCTCCCCAAACCCTGTATTGTAAAGACCGAGTCTGGAACTCTGGCATCAACCCGAGTTGCCCCCACATGCTGGGAAGCCAAGAGGGTCTTAATGCAACCTTGAGCCTCCTCGTCGCGTGCCCGTGGGGCTCTGCAAACAGAGGGTGGGGCAGAGGCACAGACACTGCCCTGGCCCCAGCTCAGGTGCACGGCGCCCTCCCCTGTTGCAGGAGGAAGAGTTCAGCATGTACGCACTCTACAGCAAGAACAAGCCCCAGTCAGACGCCCTGCTCTGCGGCCACGGAAACGCCTTCTTCAAGGTCGCCCCCCACCCCACGAGCCGCTCTGCCCCCCCTCCTGGCCCAGGCTGACCCTCTCGCCCCGGCCCTTGCAGGACAAGCAGCAGCAGCTGGGCGACAAGATGGACTTGGCCTCCTACTTGCTGAAGCCCGTGCAGCGTATGGGCAAGTACTTGCTGCTGCTGCAGGACCTGGTCCGGGAGGCTGGCGGCAGCCCCGCCGGGGAGCAGGAGCTGCGCGAGCTCCAGGCCGCCGCAGACGTGGTCCGTTTCCAGCTGCGTCACGGCAACGACCTGCTGGCCATGGACGCCGTCCGAGGCTGTGACGTAAGTGCCCCGAGGCCCGGATGGGCTCTCCTGAGACGGGGAAAGATGAGGCCTGGGGTCAGAGCACGTGCTCTCCTCTGGGGGTCTCCTGAAGCTTGAGGCCTCCCGGGGGGCCAGAGGACCAGGGCGGTAGGGATGGCTTTCGTGTCCAGGCAACTGTGCCTGGCTCTAAATGGCTAACCATCCGCTTGCTGGGGCGACTTCAGAACAATGGGACGCGTGAAAAACGTGAGCTTGGCCGTCAGGCTTGGGGCCGACCAGCATGGGCTCACCCCATGCCACCAGCATCTCTGCTGGGGTGCCGAGGCCTGGCGCCCGCGCCCCCCACACGGTGGCATGACGGGCCTTGCATGGACAGAAGAAGAACCCTTTCTCCAGCAGAGCCCCGTGCCTCGGACAGCTGGAGGGACAGTCACAGAATTCCCAGCACAAAATGAAACTGCGTGTGCCCTGCTGCAGACAGTAAGAGTTTCATGAGCAGCAGGTCTGAGCGCAGGCCCTCTGGTTGCCGTGATGCGGCCCAGCTCCCGGGTGGACTGTCCTCCTGCTGACCAACCCTGGGAGCCTCGCAAGGTGAACTGGCCAATGTGTGGGTATGGTTGGAGTTGTGCTGACACCCTGCCCCCTGACCCCACCCAGGCTGGACGGGGGACCCCCGGCGCCAGCTAGGAAAGGTAGAGCTGTGGCTGCAGCCGCTGCCACAGATGGAGTCCAGCACAGAGTGTATTTCTCCATGGACGGCCGTGGAGGACGCAGGGCACCCCAAGTGTGGTCACCCCCAGGACCCCTTCATTCAGCAGGCCCAGCTATTTGAGACAGGGCTGGCCATGGGCTGGGAGGTCACAAGAGAGCTTGCAGGGGTTTCTGTGGTTTGGAATGCACACCACAAAGGGAGCCGTGGCTTGGCCAGGGTGTGGAGCCCACGTCCTCCCACATAGCCACCAGCCCGGACTGCAGCTTGTGGGGACATCTGGCGGCAAGGGGCGCTCGAGTGCAGAACTCGTGACAGGGTCCCTGTCGGGTGTTTACATGGTAACGAGTGAGACTAGCCCCGTGTCAGCAATGGGGCTTCCGTTCCGATGGACACCAGGGCTTTCGAGTGGAAGGTGTGGTAAAACTGAGCTGCGACCGTCGTGCAGACGAGCGCGGCCCTTCCTGGCCTCCTGGCTTCAGCCCCAGTTCCAATGTGTGGGGCCATCCCCGTACCTCCGAGCACGTCTCAGACACCAGCTGGGCTTCCAATAACTCAGCTCAATCCCGCTACCATCCGCCAAGACATAGGGCAAGACCCCACGGGGAAGCGCTCCATCCTACGAGACGCCCCTGACACACCATACACGGACGTCATGACAACCACAGCCCAGAGAAACAGCTCACTTCCAGCATCCCTGGTTTGTTGTAAGGGGCCTTTCTCGGGAACAGGCAGCCAGAATAGAGGCACGGGGCCCGGTGTGGGGAGAGGGCCATGCCCCCACCCCAGGAAGCCACACTTGTTCATCCCAGAAGCTCCCGAGCTGTGTCCTTTGGGTCTGACGGAGGCTTCCTTACACGGGCATCACTGGGGAGGCCCGTTTACCCCCAGCCCCTGGCCTCTCCGTGGGGCTCAGGGTGGGGTCGGGGCAGGCCCGAGTGTCCCTGAGGGAGGCTTGCTCCGTGTGCAGGTGAGTCTGAAGGAGCAGGGGCCGCTGAGATGCCAGGACGAGTTCATCGTGTGCTGCGGGAGGAGGAAGCACCTGAGGCACGTGTTCCTCTTCGAAGACCTCATCCTGTTTAGCAAGACCAGGAAGGTGGAAGGGGGTTACGACACCTACACGTACAAGCAGTCCTTCAAGGTAACGTGGCTGCCTCACACCTGATGCTGCGGGGTGTCAGGTCCTGGTCTGCTGGGCACGAGCAGGGACGGGTGACACTCATTTTCTGGGCTTCTGTGTCTGAGCTCTGAAAGCTGCAGAGGCACATTTGTCCTTTACGGTTCCCAGGGCTGTTTCAGTGGCTGGAAAACTCAGTGTCTCACCTGGTAACTTAATTTCTGATTTTGGTGAAGGCAGACACTGGAGATAGCCTTCCCCTGGGCCAGTCACCAAGTGTGGCCCCCACCCTCTGGAGGTTCTGAGCTCCTGAGCCCCCAGGAGGAGCCCACACCTGTAACCCCTTACCTGCCAACGCAGAGGAGAACACCAGAGGGGGTCCTGTGGCCCCCATCCCATGCAACAGCCTCAGGGCACCATAGAGCCTGCCAGTCCAGCCTCCCTTTCTCCAGTGGGGAAACTGAGGCTCCAAGATGGAGCCAGTGCACATGGGCGGGACCCCCATTCATCCTGCACCGTTCAGTGTCGGGTGAAGGAGCTCCATTCCTGAGGTGCTGCGGTCAGCTGTCTGCTGGAGGGGTTGTGTGCCCAAGTACGGATCTGTGTTTGCTGACGCTGCTGCCACTCGCGGCTTCTGGTACAGACGGCGGAGATTGGGATGACGGAGAATGTTGGAGACAGCGGCTTAAGGTTTGAGATCTGGTTCCGCAGGCGGCGGAAGTCCCAGGACACCTACATTCTCCAAGCCAGCTCTGCAGAGGTCAAGTCGGCCTGGACCCATGTGATAGGGCAGATCCTGTGGCGGCAGGCTCTGAGGAACAGAGGTGGGCAGAAGAGGGCCGCCCAGGGCCAGCTCTGTGTTTAGGGGGCCAGCCTCGGGGTAGAGATTTAGGGCCCGGGGTGAGGGGCTGAGTTCAGGGCAGGGCGTTGGGGTCAGGGGCGTGGGGCTTGGACCTGGGTAGGTGTTTGGGGCCAGTACGGAGCAGGTGGCCCTTGGAGAGCTCCTCCATCCATGTGGAAATGGATGACCCTCCCATCACTGCACAGATAAACCTACCCTTTACAAGACCTCCATCCCCACAGGGCAACTCCAGAGATGTTGTCATAATCTGCTCCGGGACAGCTTAGGCCCACTGCTCTCTGCCTCACCCTTCGTCAAAGTGTCGTGCCCCTCTGGACACAGGGCTGATGGTCCGCCCGTGGCCTCCCTGGAGGAGAGGGCCATCCCCATCAGGCGCCGCGCTCCTTGTGCCAGGACTCCCCTAGGTTTCCTGCTCCTGGAAGTTGGCCCCCTTGGTTGGTCCTCTCCTCTGCCCCCCCCCCATTTCCCCCCTGGGCCCCCCCCCCGTTCACACCCGCCAGGCGGCGTTTCACCCGGTCCGGCTGCTACAGATGCCGTCTGCATGGCCACCCCTCCAAGCCGGCCCTTTGCTCTGACTGCCCAGGCAGGAGAAACCCTAAGGGCCCCAGTGTCCTAACATGGAAGCACGACCTCCTGACCTTTCTCAGCGGCCACCTGGCCAGTGTTTTGGCCTGTCGTCAGAGACGCAGCACGGCCTCCCCCAGCAGCTTCCTCCAGAGGGCAGAGAACCCCATGCACACGCGCATACACGCATGTCCACACTCGCACATGCGTACGTGTGCCCTGCAACTTGGCTCAGACGCTCACTGGCTCCCAGTCCCCATAGAGTGGACCCGGCCCTTCCACGGAGCAGGAATTCCCCCCTGGCCTGACCCCCACTGCCCTCCACAGTCTCCTCCCTTCCCGCGCCTCCCTCTCCACTGCCCCCAACTGGAATAATATCTTTGGTTTTCTTTGCTTCGTTTTACCAAGGAGTAACTCATTGTCAGACCCTCACACTATGCTCTGTAGTCAAAGCCATGTAAATGTCTATCAGCTTGTCTGTCTTGTAGCCATGTGCCCCCCTGCAGGTTTGGCTTGCTGACTGACCCACTGTCCTTTATGCTGAGAGGGGACCCCTCCCTTCTCTGGCACCCAGTCGGACACCAGTCCCTGAGTCCCGTGTCCCCCTTTTTCTGGTTTGCTCCTTGAGCTCCCTGAGAAAGGCCACAGTGAGGCCAGACCAGAAGCATATACCAGCACGGGAGCCCCAGCCCCTCGGGGGCCCTGCAACACTCGGGGAGGGTGCTGGGCCAGGCCCTGACGTGCTTCTGGTCTGGGTGGTTGGGTACAGAGTGTCATCAGCAGTGGTATCAAAGCCAAGCAGTTGCTTGGACAGTTGTCCTGCATTACTCCATTTTAGAACTCAGAATGCGAGAAATGGTGTCCATGGGGATAGGCAACAAGCCGTTCATGGACATCCAGCCCAGCGATGCAGCCATAAGTGATCGGGCTGTCAAGAAGGGAGCAGGTAACATGGCTTCAGCCCTCCCCCCGTTCTGTCCCACGGACTCAGACTCAGGCCCCTGGTACTCACATTTGACCCCAAGAGCCAGCACAGCAGGATGGATGGGTGGTGGCCACGTCACGCCTGACAGGACTGAGGGGGAGGGACCTGGTCAGTTTCCCAGACGACTACTCCATTTTCGGATCTGGGCTGCACTTGGAGAGCAAGTGCCAGGCTGACCTGCTTTCTGTCCCATTCCAGAGTTACAGACCCGAGCATCCGTGGTTGTGCCCCTCTGTGACCATGCTGCCCCCTTTAAGAGACCACACTCCACCATCTCAGACAGCAGTACCTCCTCGGGCAGTCAGTCATCCTCGGCCCTGGGGCCACTGAGCCCGAAGTCATCAGCCAGCCCAGCCCTGCTGAGCTCCACCCACTGGCCCTGGCCGGCTGACTTGCACGCCTGCTTCCAGGAGGAGGAGGAGCTGGAACAGGAGCCCGGCAGCCCGCCTTCCCCGCGTGAGTGGGCCCAGGCACAGACCGTGCCCACTCCAGCCTCCAACAGCTGGTTCCAGGGGTGGGGGGTTCACCCGGTCATCTAAGTCACTTGCCCTTACAGACTTCCAAGAGTCTTCAAACACATTACAATTTTTCTTTAATTAAAAGAACAACAAAAACTGTCACTTCCACCTACAACGAGGTAACAGGGAATGGGTTTAAAACAAGCAAGTGAACCAGAACCAGACACAAGCAAACAGGAACAGATGAAACATGTGAAAGGCGATTTCAAACCTACGACATCCCGCTCCCAAGGTAGTGCCGTGAGAGACAGGACTGTGATGGGGGCTCTGTGACTGCTCTGATTTCTGCCTTGAGAGGCCCCAGGTGCGGGACAGAGAGCCTGCAGACCCCTGGTGGAGGACAGAGCGGGGGAGTCCCGTGCCGGGACAGGCCTCCAGGGTCTGGGTGCAGCAGAGAGCACCGCACCTGGGAAGGCTGTCCAGGCCAGATCCCTGGACCACAAGAGAGTACCCGCCACACACCACACACACCTGTTCCCAGCAGCTGACGGCAGCATCCCATCCTCAGGGAGGTGGTGGGTCCTGCGAGGGGCCTGCAAGGGGGGAGGAGGGTGTTGGACGAGCATCCCTGCTGACCTGCCACCATGTCGTGAACACAGGGCATCTGCAGGGAATCCAGCTGCATCCTGGAGCAAAGCTTAAGGAGATTTATGGGGTCACAGAAATCCCCAGCAGCCGACAGGGTAGGTACACAGGCTGGTACCAGGTGAGCAGGGAGGCAGGGAACAGGCCGTAACAGGGCAATGATCAGTCAGCCAGAACCGAGGTGGTCGCTAGAGTTCCCAGTCCCGGCACTCACACCAGCGTTCCATGTCCCTGATGTCCAAAATGCTGGGTCACAACCAGGAAGATAGGATGGACTAAACTTGGCACGAACAAAGGCCACAGTACTTAGGGTGGACATGTCCTCAGGTAACAGAAAGGGGTAACAGAAAGCACAACTTAGTGGAGACAAATCGGTAGACACTGTCCAAAATGACGCACAGAGAATCAAGGCAGAAAATCGATGACTTGTGGGACAATTTCGAGAGGCTTCATAAACACCTAAAAGCCCCAAAATGGAGGGACAACAAAACTTTGAAGGCACGGATATCTCCCTGATTTGGTGACGGTGTAAACCCGCAGGTAGGAAGCCCAATGAGCCCCAGCACCCGTAAGTGCACATCATCCGCAGGGAAGCCAGTGACACATGGAACACCCTGAGAGCAGCTGGAGAGTGGCCTGCTCTGTGCCGGGGACAGGGACGGTGGCGGCAGGGTTCTCATCGAAGACAGCACAAGGGAGGGACAGTCCAAACACTGAAAGAGAAAACCGTGAAACTAGAGCTCAGTGTGACAGGTACGCCTTTCAGGAACGGTGAGACCAGGATGAGTTCATGCCTGCGGGAGCCGAGACGGCTCACCAGCAGACCCGAAGCGTCCAAGGACGACCTGCAGGGAGAAGGGCAGGGACGCTCGGAGTGGCAGAATGAAGACTCTAGTGAAATTTCTGTGAGGACAGCACAGAGGAAAGGGAACACGGCAGGAGCGTCCTTGAGGCCGATGGGACGTGCGCGTGCAGGACGTCTGGAAATGTGGCCATTCTGTGCCATGGCCAAGGTGTATAGTATCACGGGGGGCATCTGATTCGTTAGATAGACATTTTAAGCCCCAAACGACCCTCAGATAACAAAACACTTGGAGCTAATATGCCAGCAGGGGAGATAGAACGGAAGCGCAGGAGCAGCTCCGTCTAGAGAAGGCAGGAGAGCAGAACAGAAGGACTAACGAGGCAGCAGAGACGAAGGCTGAGCGCACAGTGGCCACAGGGAGGACGAGTGGAGCCTTTCATGAGCAACCCGCGTGTGCCTGTGTGGATGAGTCCCTGTGCCAGGGCCCGCGGCCGGGCTCTACCTGCACCCTAGCCAGCGGCGCACGGACGACCTGGCCGGGCCAGACTCAGTGCCGGCCTGCCCTCGGCTCCACGCCGAGGGAACGGGTGTGCGGCGGCACCCCAGCCGTTGGTTTCCTCTGCCTCCTGCCTGGGGGACCCCACAGGCGTGGGTTCCCAGAACAAGTCCTCCCACGGTACCACAGCCCTAGGGAGGCCCCTACTCAGGGCAGCACTGCCCGGGACCCACGTCCTTCCAAGCCCCCATGTTCCCCCGCTGCCATGACAGGACAGCGGCTTGGAGAGCACCCCGGACCACAAGCGCGTCTCTGCGCAGATGGAGGCGTCGTGCCGGAGCCCTGCTGGGGTGCCTGGGTGCACAGAACAGTGGCCCCTCAGTCGGGCTTGTCCCGTGCCGGCCCAAGCGGGGCATGGCTGGGGGTCTACCCACCTTCCCGGCGGTGGCCTCCCAAGCCCCCACGTGGGCCAGAGCAGCCCCCTGCGCCCTGAGTCTGCGGGTGCGGCTGCCTCTTCTCCCGTGGAGGGCAAGGCTGCCGGCGGGAGGGCTCTGCTCAGCCGGCTCAGTCCCACGCAGAAACTGCACGGAGATCCCAGCATCGTGATCCCTGCGCAGAAGCTCGCGGCAAAGCCCCCACGGCCGCCAGGAGGTCGTGCCCACGCCACAGGGCCATGGGCTGCGTGCGTGCAGAACATGTGGCGATGTACGGCTTCACCGGCGGGGACGCGAACAGGCCCCCCGCAGCCCTTTGGGGCAGAGACCTCGTCCCCCTCCCTTCCCACTCTGCGTTGAAGCCACGCAGCCTTTCTTTGGCCTCATTTTCTGTGTTTCCCCTTGGAGTTGTCTGGTGTGAGCCCGAGGCTTCCCGCTGGAGGAGAGAGCCCCGTCCCCCCATCCTCTGATTCCAGAAAAGCTGGGTCTGGAGACACTTGCTCCTAAGGGTGCCTGGCCCCCAGCAGCGTCGTCCTGCCTGCGCAGACCCAGCCTCACAGTTGTCCTGCGATAAGTCTGCATGCGCAGGATATGCCTTGTTCTCTGCTTACACGCTTCGGGGGGGCCTTGAGTGTTGAGCACGGAGATGGGGGGGCGGCCAGCCCTGACCCAGCCCCCCTTTGCAGTGACCAAGGGCACGTCATCGGGGGACAGTGGCCTCGGGCTCCCAGAGCTGTTCTCTGAGGAGGGCCCCAGGAGGGGCGCACAGGTGCCCACGCTCAGCCAGCACACCACGATGGTGAGTCCCCACTCCTGAGACCACCCCCCGCCACCCCAAGAGAGGCTCAGGACCTGCTCAAGGATCCTGGCGTGTCTTCCTATCTGAAAACCGGCCGTTCCCTGTCCGCAGTCAGCAGGGGAGAGCCCGGACAGCCTTGCGCGTGCACACAGACGTGTCCTCCCCAACAAAGGGATGGGGCGACCGGGGAAAGGGGCCCCCGAGGAGGAAGCCCCTAGTCTCGCTCAGCTGACCTTCACCCAGCCTCGGGTCGCGCCCACATCCACTTTGGCAAACACGGTCCTGGTTGTGGGGAGGCACCCCATTGCCCCCAGTTCCGGGCAGACACTCGCGTCTGTCTTCTGGGCCACATCAGAGGGAAGGGTTGGGTCTGAGTGTGTGCTGAGCATCCAGTGTGCGGGACGGGTCTTTGGTCCGTCACTGACGAAGACCGGTGACATGGTCTCTGATCAGTGATCTCCTCTCCTTCTGCCAGAGCAAAGGCTTCTGGACAGTGGTCTGCCTGGCAGGCCGTCCCTGCTCCCCTGAAATAACAGGAGGGTTCTCGCATCCACTGCCACCCTAAGGTGCTGGGCGCGCATGCCGCCAGCAGCCAGACTACCTGGCCACGTCTCCACCCCGTACCAGATGCTCCCACGCACAGTCACGTGGCTAGACGTGAACAGCCCCCCAGGAGGGGCACCCTGGCCTGCAAGGCTGTCCCCTGTTCTCCAGTGCCCAGATCAACCTCCCCGGGATCTTGCTGCCTAAACCCCCCGGAAACTGCTCACCCAAGAGAGTGGTGTGGAGTGATTTCTGAGAGCTCAGGTTTTCCTGCAACACGAAGGGGCCCTTGGCCCGTGGTGCAGTCACTCCCCAGAGGCCTGGCCACAGGAGCCAGTGGGGACCACCTCCGCCTGTCCTGAGAACAGGGACCTCCCCGACATGGACTCCTAGCCCACTCCCTGAGCCCTACCGGAGTTGCTGGGAGGTGCACGCACTTGTGTTCTAGGATCAGAACAGCAAACGTGGAACCGACCATTTCGGGGCCAGAAAGTTTTTTACCTCCAGAAGCACGGTGATGCCAGACAAGATAGCCACCCCGCAGGCTCCTCTGGGCCTAGAGCCGGGGCAGACCCGCCTTGAGAGCAGCCAGCCTTGCGGAGAACACTCTGGTCTCTGCTGCCCTGACCTTGTCTGCACTGGCCCCAAGTGCTTCTTGCAAACCTGTGTGTCCATGAGTCCGAGAGCACCTTGCAGGGAGCAAGGCCTTCCGCGTGCCTTCCAGACAAGGACCCTGTGCTGTGCACGTCCAGGGCGCCCAGTGGCCGTGAGTAACGACCTCCTTCCTTTCACAGCTGTGATGTGTTGGGAAGAGGCTCAGGCCCTCCAGGGAGAATCCCCAGTACAGGGACCACAGGAGCCTCCACCCAGACCTGTGCCCGAGGTCAGGAAAGGAGGCACTCCTGCCGGGGGCTCCTGACGCACCCCCAACTCCAGCCGCCGGCCACGCAGACAGCGCGCCACGGGCCCCGCCGGCCTGGGCGCCATCCAGCCTTCCTCCAGCCGTCTACACAGCTCCTCCACCCCAGCTCCGGGGCCCAGAAGCCCGGGTGGCTCCGACCTCCACACCCGGAGTTTCCCCCGTGCTCTGAAGGCTGCGGCGAGATTGGGGTGGGAGCCCGTGGAACCCTGGATCCTGTGGGGTGGTCCATGCAGACTTGGGGTGTCTCAGAGCAGGGCGAACCCTCTGGGAACACGTCTCACTGTCCTTCCAGGCAACGCAGGCCCATGGGCAGTGGTTCCCCCAGAGCGGCACCCACTGTGGTATGTCCCAGGTGCAGGGGTGCCTCTGAGGGGGCTTGGAATCTCGGGGGTTTTTTGTTTTTAACAAGACCTGTGTAGATAGTGGGAACCGGTCGCCACCTGTGGGCCTGGGACCCCGGCTGGGGCAAGGGCACAGCTGCCGGGCCTGAGGTCTGGGGTGTGGACCGTGCCCCAAGAGGGCCACCCCTTGCCAAATGGAGGCACAGAATAGTGATATGCAGGGAAAGCCTGAGTACACGCCAGACCCTGAGTGAGGTTCCTGCTGGGAGGTGTTCCCCACGAACCCTGTCCCCCAGGTGGCAGCCAGGTGCACAGGCCGGGTCCACACCACAGTGACTTGGTGACTTCCAGCTGCTGTAAGCCGGTTTCTTTGTTTCTCTGCTCCAGTGCTGACTTGTTCCAAACTTTAGGAACATAAATAAATGAGATGTGTCTTTCTAAGACATGGTCGAGTTTCTCTTACTTGGTTCTGTCGTATCTGGGGACGTCAACGGCAGGCCTCACCTGGGGGGCCTGACTCCCGTGACTTTGAGGCAACGTGGCCCTGGTCAGAGGGGCCTTCATCTGGGGTCTCCCAGGTCCACGCTCAGGCCCGTGCAGCCCATGGCAGCTCCCAACCACAGGCCATCCCTGCAGTGGGCAGGAGCGGCACTTGTCAGAGGCCTAGTGGCCCTGAGCCATGCCCTCGGACAGCTCTGTTTTCAGCAGTTAAGCACCAGGACAGGCTGGCCACTGTCCACGCCTCCACGGCCAGAGCCCAACAAGCACCCACGACCAAAATAGCTGTCAGGTGACCAGAGGGCCTGCTCACGACCTTCTGCCCTAAGGCAAACCGCTCACAGCAGCTGCAGCTAAAAATGAACAGGAAGGGCTTACATCTTCAGGAGACTCACAAGGGGAGAGCTCGGCACAATGAGATCGCTGCGCTTCATTTCTGCCAAGGCCCTGGTGTCTCACCCCCAGGTGGCCCAGCAGAGCCTGGACGGTGTGGCCCACAACCTCTACCCTCTCCTCTTCAAAGCCGGCTACTTGCTGGAGCAGGCGGCGCTGATCCGCGTCCTGCTGGAGCACTGGCCCCTGGAGGAGTTCCGGCTGAGTGCGCTGCTCGGGCCCGGCTCCGAAGCCGCGGAGGACCTGCGGGACCGCACCTGCAGGGCCTGCCTGGAGGCCTGTGTGCAGGGCCTCGCAGACCATGTGCTCCGGGCTGGGGGTCCGCGGCGGCTGCGCGTGGCTGACCTCACAGGCGTCCGAGACGTACAGGTGCAGCGGTGCCCGTGTGGGAGGGCGCTGGGCAGGTGGGGCCGCACCGAGCTGCTGGCCAGGACATGCTGCCAGCTGCAGGGGGAGGCCCCCGCGGCCCAGCGCCCCGTCCTGGTCATCGCCGATCTCTTCGTCACCGATGGAAACTTCGAGGTGGTGGTGCGGGCCCTGGGGCCAGCGGGCCCTGCCCCACTACGTGTGCACTGCCTGTCCTTCCGGGCGGACAGCCTGGACCCCAGCCAGCTCTCACAGGTGCTGCGTCTGGCCGGGCCGGGGGAGCTGCGCCGGCTGGAGGTGGTGCACAACGTGCGGCTGCACGCCGGCCACGTGCAGGAGCTGCTGGCCGAGGTGCGCTTCCCCCAGCTGGCCTCGCTCACCCTGCCGGCCAGGGCCTTCGATGCGCCCCCCACTGGCACCCACAGCCCCGATGGTGAGGACCCCCTCCTCTCCTCCATCGCCTGGGAGCTCAGCCGCATGAGCCGGCTCACGGAGCTGAGCGTGGCCTTCTCCACGCTGACCGGGAAGATCCCGAAACTGCTCGGGTAAGTCGCATGATGGCCCAGAGGGCGGGGCAGGGGCGGGGCGGGGGGGGGCTACAGGGGGGGTGGGGGCGTCTCCCAGCCTCATGGCGCAGGTCTGCCGACAGGGGGCCCCCAGAGCCCAGGCCGAAGACACAGGAGGGATCATCGGGCGGACCCAGCTGCCTACAAGGCCACGGGGTCCCCAATACCCTCTGCCTTCACCCCGGGAGGGCCCAGGGCGGCAGGAGGCCCCAGACAGTGGGGCTGTGCGTAGCCCGGTGGGGAGCTCGAGGAGGACTGTTTTCTGTTGGTGAACAGACGGGAGCACTGCTAATTAGTGAAGCAGACGGCGCGGGAGTGACTAATGGTGTTCTTGGGACAGATGATCGCAACGCTGGGTGCACAGCGACAAGTCCCTCGAGAGCTGGCTCAGCTTGGGTCTGCTGCCGGTGGTCTCCCTGAAGGCTGGGTGGGCTGGGAGGGGGAGGCAATCAGCTTCCAAGTTCAGCGTGTGGCCGTTGGTGGGCAGCCTCTGCGCCATGGCCGCTGGGCGTTCTCACGGCGGAGCCGAGAACCAGAGATCCCTGGGTAGAAGCCCCAGCCTGCTCTTGAGACGGATCTGTCCTGCTTCTGTGGACCGTGTCGGTGTGCGGCCAGTCAGGGGGCTCGCCCGCGTGAGGGGAGAACCCCTCACAGGGGTGGGAGCACCAGCAGGGCCAGGGGACCCGAGAGGGCTGGGTGATCAGGGAAGGCTGATCAGCTCTGACGTCATAGCCCCGAAGCCACAGACAATTGAGTGAGCCTAGTTCTCACCGGCACTTTATTTACGGACACTAAGAATGGAATTTCGTGTTCTTTCCGCACGTCCCAGAGTATCATCCTTCTTTTGATTGTTCTACCGTTTAAAGATGTAAAAACCATTTTGCTGTCCGGCTGAGTCAGACCAGGCAGCCATGGGTTTGGCCTTGAGGCTGCAGTCGGGTGGCCCTTGAGAGACAATTCAACTCAGTTCCTCCCAGAGGTCCTCGCCGGGACTGCCCCTCACCGCTGCTGTTTTCTGCCCTGCCCTAGGCCCCTACGGACGCCGCTGAGGACCCTGGACCTGGCCAACTGCTCCCTGAACCACACAGACATGGCCTTCTTGGCAGACTGTCCCCACGCCACATGCCTGGAGGTGCTGGACCTCAGCGGCCACAACCTGTTCAGCCTGTTCCCTTCCACCTTCTCCAGGCTGCTGAGCCGGGCGGCCCGGACGCTGAGGGTGCTCACCGTGGAGGAGTGCGGCATCGAAGACCGGCACGTGGGCATGCTGATCCTGGCCCTGAGCCCTTGCCACGAGCTCCGTGAGCTCCGCTTCCTGGGGAACCCGCTGTCAGCCCGGGCCCTGAGGCGCCTCTTCGTGGCTCTCTGCGAGCTGGGCAGGCTCCGGACTGTCGAGTTCCCGGTGCCCAAAGACTGCTACCCCGAGGGCACGGCCTACCCCCAGGACGAGCTGGCCATGTCCAAGTTTGACCAGCAGAAGTATGATGGGATCGCCGAGGAGCTCCGTGCGGTGCTGCTTCGGGCCGGCCGCGGTGACGTCCAGGTCCGCACGCCCCTCTTCGGAAGTTTTGACCCAGACGTCCGCGAGACAAGCAACGAACTTGGAGCTTTCTTGCTGCGAGCTTTCAAAGCTGCTCTAGAAAACTTCTCCAGAGCCCTGGAGCAAATGCAGTAGGCCCTCGAGCAGACGGGGGGTGGTGTGTGGTTTGGCCGGACGGGAGCCTGGACGTCCTGAGTCAGCAGGCTTGAGCATCCGCGCCCCTGGCCCCCTGCTGCGGACGCGTCTCTTAGGGACACTCACACGGGGCATGAGTTAGGTGCTGCGTGGCGGGCGCCCTGGCTCCGGAAGAGTGGACGAGGCCACGTTGGCGATGGACCGGGGGTCGGTTCTGGACCGCACAGGAGGGAAGGGGAGGCCAGACGTCCGGCCAGGGCCGAAAGAACGTGAGAACTGTCACAGAACTCAGCACTCCCTGTGCCGCGTCTGGGTTCTCTGCCGTGCTGACTTGGGCTTATGTACTCACAGACTCCTGTCCGGCATGGAATATGGGATTCGTTGTTAAGTGCTTGACCCCGAGGACACAGAAGGCTTCCCAGAGGGCCTCTGTCCCTGCAAGAAAGCCCCACCGGTGATGACACCTCCCTACCCTGTTTCTTGCCTCCCTTTGGACCCTGACCCCAGAGGACCCTCTGCTCAGGCCGAAGGGAACTCCTCTGTGCGGCTGAATCAAGGCGTGTAAGGGTTTACGGACAACATGTGAACTTGGTTTCTACCTGGATCTGATTCCTGTGAAGGGCCCAGTGTTAGGGTCATTAGATACCAATAAAACGGAAGTGTGCCTTCTTCACATGTGGCTTTCATTTCAATGCAGTTCGGGAGTTTTTTAAGTACCCAAGAGTATGAAAGTGAAACATTTTCTCAAGACGGAGGCTAGTGCTTGAGGTGCCCAACCTCCTCACACTAGAACCCCCAAGTCCTTGATGTGGGTTTGAATCCTGTGTGAGCAGGCCCCGCCCTCTGTCTGGCTCTGGGCCCTGCATCCAGGTAACCACATGCTGCCCCTGACAGGTATGTCTACACCCTACGTGCTCCACCCTCCCCAGCTAAGTCCTCATCCAGGTAACCCCATGTCCCCCCCACCCCAAGCTATGTCTAGACCCTATATGCTCCTCCCTCCCCAGCTAAGTCCCCAACCAGGTAACCCCATGTCCCCCCCCACCGAGCTATGTCTACACCCTACATGATCC